AGGAATCATATTAAAGAAAATCTTACATCTATCAAAAATAAATAAGAACTTTTTTTTTAGCGAACAAACTTATATCACATAATTATAAGGTTTAATTTGACATAAACATATGTTTTATGAAGACATTAAATTGACAAGATTTTATCAAAGGCTTTAAAAAATAACCTTTACTTCATTTATATAAAAAGGTCAATAGAATTAAAGTTGCACCATTTGCTAAATTTCCATAAATTAAATCAAGTTTGGTATTTAGCATTGATAATTTGATCATTTGAATGCCAAAAGCTAGAAGAAGCTCCAATTCATTGTAAGTAGCTTGAATCTTGTTTAATTTAGTCACAATGCCATGACACTTACTTATAAAAAATTTACACTGGAAAAACAACAAAAGGCCTTGATTCCAAGTAGAATTGTAATACATACAATCCAATTATTGAAAATTATACATTTTGATATTTATGAATATATAAGGATGCCATGATTAGAAGAAGCAAAGTACTTTGTAATATTTATTGACGATTTTTCAAAGAAGGTATAGATTTATATCTTTAAAACTAAGAATGAATATTTTTTAAGATTTGAAGGATATAAAACATTGATAGAGAAGGAATATGAGTGCAAGATCAAAGTGTTGAGTATGAAAAATGGAAGTGAATATATGTCAAAGTATTTTGATGTATTTTCAAAGATTCAAGGCATTATAATAGAAGCCTCTACTCCTTACATTCTACATCAAAATAGAGTTGCTCAAAGAAAAAATGATACGATTATAGAGATAGCAAAGAATATGCTTCATATTCAAAATCTCAGGCATAAATTTTAGGCATAGTCTATGGTTAATGCAATATATATAAATAATAGATACTATACAAGTACTTTCACATCAATAACTCTATAAAAAATTTGAAGAAAAAAAATAAAATAAAAAAAATCTTATATTTTATACATGAAGACTTTTGATTGTATTGCTTATGCAAAGATATTAGATTGTATGAGGTCCAAACTTGATGCAAAAGATAAAAAATGTGTGTTTGTTGGATATTATGAAGATATCAAGACATATAGTCTTTTGTATTTAGAAACCAAAAAGATCATCAAAAGTTGTAATGTTGAATTTTTAGGAGCATAAGAGTGCTTGTGAGCACTTAAAGATGTATTCAAGTTAAAATAATATGTACTTATTAATACATCTTAAAATTCAACAAAAAAATTAGAAAAAGATGTTGATAATAAAGATGGTGAAAATAAAATCTACATAAAGAGTCAAAGAAGGTAAACCAAAGATCTTCTATAATTTCAAAAATAAGCAATGAAAAAATAAAGATGTAGAAGCTGATGATGATGGGAAGTATCAACTTTTAAAAATGAAAAATAAGTTTAAAAAAAAAAAAAGATACTTGCAAAAAATGATAAATTATATGAAGATGAATCTTCATCAAATGAAAGATGATGTCAAGCTGTGGTTCACTTTTTATGTAAAAATAATACTTATAAATATTTAACATATAATTTAATATACAATATAATAAGAGCCACATTATTAGATTTTGATTAGTCACAAAATATGGTTAGATTATTATATTAAAATATTTAGTTTAAAAGTGCTATTATTGAAGTTGATTTTATGTTGATAATATTTTTATATATTTAAAGCCAAATTTATTAGACATTGATGACTCTTGAAATCTTATTTTATTTTTTATATTTGGTTTTTAGGACATATATTATGTAAATCTTATTGTTGTTCTCATTGTGTTCAAGCTTCAATATACCAAAGCAATTGAACTAATAGAGGTGGATTCAAATACGGGAAAAGACTGGTTATATGAATTGGATTTATTAGTATCACAATTGACTGTACTCTAGATATCTAAAATCAATTATCAAACTACAAAACACCAAGGCTTACTACTTCCATCTTAATTCAACACATAATCCATTCTACGACTATCAATTCAATAATACTTCCATATTCTTATCAGTTCATCTCTCACTTACTCTCTTTGCGGTTTATATATATTCAATTACTGATCTTCAGCTTATTATATTCAATTTCTCAATTCATCTTACGGAATTCAATATCTTCACTTAACACAACACAATTTGATAATCTCAATTCTTAAGGTCACAAATTTTCTCCAAATTGGTCAGTCCAAAGTCATATTCCACAATATTCTAATCACAGTTTCAACAATACTTCTTTCAATCACAATTCTTCATAAATAAATAATAAAAGCAAAGAAAATAAAGAGATAGAACGAAGCTTATCTTGGCTTACGACTGCCACAGTCTGGCCCCGATCTCCCTTTTCTCAACCTCTTTATCTTACCAAAAGATGGACCGTCGCCTAGCAGATTCTAAAGGTTATGACCCTTTGAATTCTTAACCATTTGTTCCAGTAATAACCTACTGTTATCAACTAAACTGCCTAATCATAAGTCTAATTGTCAAGGTTATCAATAACCAACCAGTAACTTACCACAAAATTTATTTACCTATTCTACACTTATAAAGAAAAGGATTGGAAAGAAATTTTGGTAGCAAAAAGAGTAGCTAGGACATTCATATAGATAAATAGAAATAGATGATGAAAATCTCCATTGCTATTGACTAAAATACATATCCAATGGGCTTCAAGGAGGCTGTTTGAGACCTTATTAGGAATTAGGATTATTCTATTGAGGCCATTTGAACTTGTGAAGCTAAAATCAAAGATTGTAGGATTTTGGCTATGATTTTGGTACAAAATTTGGATGATTTGGAGTTTTTATGAAAAAGATATAGTCGCTTAAAGTTAGGATGTCGATTTTGTACCTACTATCATTCTTTTGGACATAACGTGCACATTTGGAAAGCAATAACAGATCAGCAACTAGGGATAAAGAAAGCTTTTTTTTACTATACTTTTTACATAATGCTTGATGAATTCTAAGCTATAATGAAGGAGTTATTGGAAGTTGAAGTTAGAACTTGTAATCTAAGGATAATAAGTGATTTGATTTACTAATCGTTGTGTTTTGAGCCATGTTTTAAAAAAATTGATAAGATTTTGGCTAAAACTTTCTAAAATTATATGTTATCATGTCAATAAAGTTTGTACAACTTTAATTTATATAAGTTAAAGATGGAATATTATCTATGAATGATTTTTATTTTTCTTCTACTACCTTCTATCACTTCATAGCATCCGTGGACTTCATTTCATCATAAAAACTTAAAAGATCAAGAAAGAATTCAACATTGACATACTCTTAACTTACTCAAGAAAAAATTTAGTTCTTTTGAAATTCACCAAATAGTCTTCTTTTTTCTATATGATAGATTTTTTTATTTCAAAAGATTTAACTTAATACACTTCATTTTCTCTTCTAAATTTTTTCTTTCTTAAAGCTTATCTTTTTTCATTCATGAGTTAATACTCTTCATCATTATTATCTTTAAATCTTAAATCGCTTTATTGTTGGTCTTAAAAATATAGAATTCTTCTTTTCCATCTTCTTTACTTCTTTACTTTAATTTATATAACTTCTATTTCATTGTTATCATCATCTTCTTCTTTCTTTATTGAATTTGAAGATGTATTGACAAATACACCATAGATTTCATTTCAACAAATCTTTAAATGCTCACAAGCATTGTCATCTTCCAAAAATTCTACATCATGACTTTTGATGATCTTCTTGATGTTCAAATATATATATATATATATATATATATATATACATTTTATATTTTCTATATGAAGTTTGGATATCATACAATTTCGTACTTTTATACAAGCAATGCATCCAAAAGTCCTTATAAGCAAAGCATAAGGTTTTTTTCTATTCTAAGTTTCTTATGGAGTTATAAATGTAATTGTACTTATACAACACTTAATCTTTATATATATTATATTTAGAATAAATTTTATACAAAATTCATGTTTAAAATGTTGAGCATAAAGCATACTTCTTACCACCTTTACAGTAGTTTAATTTGTTCTTTCAACAACTTTATTTTATTATGAAGTGTAAGGAACTGAGATGTTTCTTGAAATACTTTAAATCTTAAGAATATTCACCTCTATTGTCCATATGTAACACCTTGATCTTGCACTCACATTACTTCTCTGCAAGTGCTTTTAATTCCTTAAATCTTAAGAAATACTCATTCTTGGTTTTGAAGACAAAAATTCATACCTTTCTTGCAAAATCATCAATGAATGTAACAAAGTATCTAGATCTTCATATTAGTAGTAGCTTCATAGGTCCACAAACATCCAAATGTACTATCCTCCAATATCTTATTTGTATGTATTACAACTCCTTAAAAATGAGGCTCTTTATTGTTTTTATCCAAATAGAGCTTCTAAAAAGTCTAAGATTCATGAAATTTGCATGAGAGGACATACTTGCATAGTTTAACAACTTTTAAATCTATCATGTCCATATGTGATCATTAATGCCCTTAACATTCTTTTGTACTTTGATTTGCTTAAAGTGATTAGCAATGTAATCTATTTCATGAAAAGATGAAAAAAAAATATAAATAAATAAATAATATTATTTTTGAAGATTTTTCTTTGACAAAGTTTTACTATCTATAAATGCATGTAAGGATTGAGATGATCTAAGTTGGAATTTTCAACAAAATCATATGATTCCCATATTGAAGAGAAAATTATGTGCATTGTGTGCATTAAAATCTGGATATATACAATATTCAACATCACTCACCAATAAATTGAGAAATTTGTTATTATCTCTTTTTAAAATGCTCTAAGCGTCCAAAAGAAGCTGCTATTGTAATTTTGAAAGAAGATTAGTTGTCGAGTTAATTTCAGATTACGAACAAAAAGGAATTTTTTAGATGCTATGATCCCACTTGCAATCAAGTTGTACACATTTAATAAGTCATGCAAGATTCAAGATAAACTACATTGCTGCGGGACCGTGAGAATGGCCATGCCTCATGTGAAGGTTTTTTGCATCTTCACACAAGACAGTCACTTCCTGAAATCCCTTTCTGGTATCAGTAAAGATACGCAATCAACGTTGAATTATATGTGCGAGATAAACACCAAGAGCGTCGAAAGTTGTATTACATGTTGAGAAATTCTTATGATATCTTCCGTAGCTGGCGAGGCTTTCCCAGTCCGTGACCTTCGCATTCCCCGCACATGCATGGCTAACTTACATGATCCAGATATGCTAGTTCTGTGATTACCAAAGTCTACCTCAAGTGGTGAACTACTTCTGAGACGCCGTAAAACCCTTGATTTTGCCGGAGGCCGAAGGCTTAATGCTTGCAATTCCTGTAATCTCTCGTCCTGTAACCAGGGTGTTAATGTCGTATGTTCCCTCGTAGGTATAAATTGGCTCAATATCGCAAAAAGCCTACAAAGAATACACAGATGATCAAAAAACTGGGAGAGGGTGCTAGAAATCATAACATCCTCCAAATTCCACAAAGTAGACAAGTTTTCTCAAAAAATGTCTGCTGAAACAAGAAATGATCTTCGTTGCAGGAGCAGTAAATCTTTAAAACATTGAGATGCATAGCAAGGAATGGTACGCAGGCCTGACTTTAAAAAACATTATCGTTCACTCTTTAACCATAAAATGAACTCTGACCTTGGCAACAAGAAAATCTGATAGAATTCCATTTCCCCCCAGTAGCTCCCTGCCTAAGGCGACTGTCTCTCGAGCTCGCAGTGTATTCCACGCCTGCAAGTTTCCGAAGATTAAAAGAGATGTGTCCCAAACGCGAAAAAACAATTTACCCAGCATTCCTTGAAGCAGTTCGCACAACCCAACATGAAAGACCTCATTGAGCTGTTAAGATTTTACATACCCAAACACAGAGCCACGTGTAAAGATACCCTTCCTCCCACAACTATCATGCATAGTTGCGGCTTCAAAACTTGGAAAACCTCGAAAGGCGAGTTAAATGGTTCTGCTCCGCGAAAATCTTTCAATTTGTACGGAGATACATACCTTGCAAAGACTAGCTTGCCCAGGAGTCATCTTGCCACTCTCATACATTTTACAAAGCTTCCAGCCAAGCAGAAACATTGCCTGAATGTTCCCAAGCATCCGCACAAGTTTTTCTTGGTTGATTTGAAGGGCTGCTAACGGGGCTCCGAACTGTTTCCTTTCTTGCAAGTATCTGTACTCAACCAAAGTCTTATAGTCAGGAAGCGAAACAAACACATACCACATACTTGTGACTTGTTGATGGTGTTCCTGCGAGTTCACACGGCCAACATAAAGAAATTTTCGATACATCAAACATTTTTACAGAACACATGACAAGCAAAATTTGATCCAAAACGCGCAGAATCTGATTTCATCATACCTGTAACAGATGTCATACACACCCATACAAACGCCAATTGGGAGCCATGCCACCATAATTCGAGAGACAGCGAGCACCTGATTCAGATGGTATTTTATTAGAATCATTGTCTGATAGACGCAACTGTCATGAGATGTGAACAATAGCGAATTGTATCGTACAAGATGACCAGATCTTTGAAGTTAATCTTACAAAGCGAGTTATTTCCAAGGTTCGAAGAACAAGTCAGATAATCCTCTGCAGTCAGTTGTACAACCTAAAGGACGAAATCCATATTTTATGGCACCTTGTTCGTATCCTGGAAAGAGTTGATGCCAGTCAAGCGATCCTCATCGGGTATAAATACATCCTTCATGATGATGTCACCATTCTGTACTATCCGCAATCCAATTTTATTCTCGATTTTGGTAGCCCTGTAACCTGGTGTCCCTTTCTTCACAATAAACCTGCAAAACCGTGCATGGTCTATCATATATAACCAATAATCTCTTCTATGTGCTTGACATTATACCAGAGGGCCAACTGAGACTGAATGACTTAAGGCTTCCGGAATGAAGAAGACATTTCAACAATGTCAAGTAAACCAAGGAGTGCCACCAGAAATATTACATGGCGCAAAATAATAAAAACTATACAGCAGGTGTGGATCATGTTTTCGAGATGATATAACAACAGTGAGCGTGACAGTCTCATAACAGAAAGGCTCGTCTCGGCAATTTTTGGGAAAAACGCACCCGTTAATCTGGTTCGTTTGTGTGTTGCGTGCAAACACAACCACTATATCTGCAAATGTAGCGTTGCCAATCCACCGCTTCTGACCATTCAAGAGCCATCCTCCTTCCACCTGCTTCAAGAATGATGTTAGTTACTCTATAGAAATTCCGAATTTTAGTTGCTACCCCCCCCCCCCCCCCCCCCCTCCTCCTCCTTCTAAAGCAACATGCTACAGATCAATTTTATTCTGCAAAACAATAATGGAAGGAATAAAAATGATGCGTGTCGAAACCTTCACTGCTGTTGTATTAAGTGAACTTGCATCACTCCCATAAGCGGGTTCCGTTAATGCCTGTCATCATACATAATCCTTCATGACTGACTACTAAACGAAACAACCACATCTAATGATCAACACTTGCTCTCCTCTCAGGGGAACCATCCAACAGAAACCTTCACACAAAATGACCAAATCAGAACGATCTGAAATTTTACAATAGTCACCACCTTCTCCGAGCTGTACTAAAAACAACATTGAGCTACGTGCACAGCACGAACTTTTATTGATGAGCACTACAACGGACCGCAGAGACTTACCCAACAACCAATAGTATCAAAACGAGCAAGACTCGGTAGATACTTTTGTTTCTGTTCCTCATTCCCCAACATCCCTGAAAAATATAACTTAATAAATATACTACCGGAACATTCCAAGATATTCTCTGGTGTATAATCCCAACCAAAAACCAAGCTTCGGAGCATGAAATTAATCACTAAAGAAGTATTCAGAGAAGATCTAAGCGTACCGATGGTGGACATGCACAGGCTGGAGTGCACAAGAGCAAAAGTGCAACAGCTTGCATCTACACGTGCAATCTCGGCACCCACCAACGCATGACTCAATATTGAAAGCCCCGGACATCCGTAACCCTGCCACAAGAAGTCCAACATGCTACATAATTTATCATCACAATTTTATATAGTATGGTCTCCATTGTACAACACTGGAGGGACTTGTATTCCTTCCAAAGGACTTTGCTACAGAAGTATAGGTGCCTTTTTCACCCGCCAGAAAACATTAGCATTTAAACTTTAAAACAATTCCTTCACACCATCATAAAAGTTTCCAAAACTGACTTACTATCTATAATTAACAACATTCACCGATGCCAGGCAATTGAAGTACTAGATTTACACCACAATAGTTCATTGAGCAGGCAAGGAGAACAGGGGCTAGCGCATGAACTTTAATAGTTCCACCAGCGATCTTGAGGCTGGCAAGGTGTGGAATGATCTCAAACGGGAACTCTGCCTTCTCCCAATACTGCCATTATCACCAGAAAAATAGTGAAGTCATGATAAAAGTTCTGATTTGTCATTAAAATCAGAACTTTAGTGAAGTCATGATAAAATCTGAACATTGAAGAAAAGACTAAAACAGATGTTGATAAATTCACTTTTACGCAAATGAAATAAATCATGGCCTGAACAAAAACAAAATAAAATAAAATAAATAAAAAACGAATTCTTAAGTGAACAAACCTTGGTCACAACAGGTGCAACGTGCTCCTCCATCACTCTTCGCACACGCTTACGAAGTGCGACATCCTCCGGTGATAAGAGATCTTCTAGTCCAAAATAGTCTGACACTGTTTATCCGCCCATAACCATAAAAATAACTTTATGGTTAAAGAGTAAGAATTAAAATCAACATATGGCATGCGTCACATTCAACTCGATGAAAATTGGCGTGATACGAGACAGGAGACAATCGATACACGACATACTTGCTATTGTTATGGAACTCTTCATGTAAGCAGAGGAACTGGAAAATGAGGGAAAAGGATGTGCCTGATGTGGGGAATGTTGATGCTGGTGTTGCTTGCGGAAAGGCGGATGCTATATCCAATGCAGGAAGGCCAACCCCAAGCGTAGGCATGCTCTCCAACTGACCTACAATTTGCAGATACGACAGAGCATTTCAACCACCCTCAGGAAAACCCGAGCTTCAAATGACTTAAAGTGATATGTACATGCAGTGCTCCATCGTTCATGAACTTCCAAATTCAAAACAAAAAAAATTTGCGATGTATAATGAAGAAGTCCCATCTAGTTTAATAAGATATAAGATTAATGTTATACAAGCATTTACTTGGAGAAAGGAGACTCGGAATGCCCTTCGGCTGGAGTTGCTGGTTGATACGAGCAAGTCGACGCCAGCCCTTTTCATCCATGCCTTCTCCCGTCATTACCCTATCCATGATTCTTATGAAGTTATGTAATAGTCTGATTACAGCAGTTTTGGAACACCCAGTTAAGAACAAAATTTTCAGATTAGATCTAAGATAGCAAACAAGCTCCTCTCAAAACAAACAGAATTAATTCGAGTAGCCAATGGACAAGTAAAGAGCTAAATATGGAAAACGATTCAAAAAGTCATTCAACACAAGAAATCAGCAGAGTTCAAGACCGTTCAGCCTAAAATGCAACTAAAAGAAACACAAAACCTCGAAACTGCATTAAACCCTGGTATGAATTCACTCCAGGATGGACCTACTCAGAGAATTTTTAGCTATTAAAAGGAACACGAAAACGAAGAGCTAGGTGAATTAAAACATAGAAGATCTTCCGCGATTTTAACTTCTAATTCCTGACCTACCGGGATTATTGTGCTGGATGCTCAATACACGTGACAACAAAATGTAGCCACCGCAAACGAAGCTGCAATGGTCAAAGTCATGGTGTCGTAACAATTATGCTAGTGGTACAACATGATGATTTCGTTCAAGACGATTACACGGATTACGAGGACGAGGACTCGATCTAATAGACAGGACTCCCGATTGAAAAAACCATTCTCTGAAATGGGCAGAATCAGAAAGAACCTTTTTAAAAAAGAAAAAAACAGCAAATCCTGAGAACACCAAGTTGCAATAGGACTACACGAGGGCACGAATTGCGATGAGATGAGAGGATCGCGAGGGAGAGGCTCACCACCTGGAGTGCGAGGGACGCGAATTGATGATGAGGAGGAGGAGGAAGAGGAAGAGGAGGACGCAGAGTGAGAGGGAGGGGGGAGGAGGGGAGGGCGAAGAAGCGGGCGGAAAGAGCACCATGGCACCGTTTCTGCACTCTACCCCACCCACACCTCTACGTCAGTACGCCGCTCCTCGTCCATGTCAGCGACGTCGAATTCCTGTCGCGCCGAAATTCTAGCATGGATCGAGAGTATTGTAGAGGAGAAATCGAGTAAAAATAGAATTTTTACAAATGACGATAGAAGGCATATGAGATCAAGAGCCCTTTCATAAAAGAGTAAGTTTTGCAAATTGGTATGTTCCATGGCCAAAATAGAATAAAAGCAAAGAGGCAAACTCACAAAATCTAACAAAATACATTCAAGTGTTTTACATTCATAAAAATTGAAATCGTAGGGATTTTGATATTTAGAAGTTTCTTTAAAAATATTATTTTACCAAAGCTTTACACAAAATTTCTTATTTAGTGATGAAAAACCCTCCTTTAAAAATCTTTGTTTTTTTATATGATAAAGTAGGAGGAGGTTATAAATGGACTAAATATTATTTTTTTAAAATTAGAATTCTAAATATTTCAGTAAAGGACTTGATTCTAACAATTCTAACTCTCTCTCTCTTTTCATGGACATATATATATATGTATATATATCAGTAGAAATCCATGTTATTAGCCACGAAAAAGGTATAAGAGTTTAATTTGTGATTTCTTAGTTAAAAATTGACCACTTTTAATGAAATTTTGACCAAGGAAAAAAAACAAAAAAACAAAAAATAAAAAAAAATAAAAATAAAAAGAATTTATTCATTATAATGGAATAATTTATATTTCTACATTTCAATTGGAAAACATAATTTTTTTTATTATGACTTAAATAACTAAGTTAAAAAAAATTTGAAATAAATTACATTTATAGTGGTATTTTATCTTTATTATTTTTAGGCTATAAGATCTTAATCATATTTGGAAAAATAAGAACTTATATTGTTGAGCACAAAAAAATACTTTTGTTTGATCTTATCAGTTTTTATAGCTTTTTGTAAGTTCTTATAAGTTCCTCAAGTTTCTATGCATTTTCCTATATTCCTTGAGTTTTTGTTGGTTCTTATGCGTTTACTAAATTCTTATTAAATATAACTAACTACTTTTAGAATAATTTGATATTGTGGTTGATTATGCTTATACAATGACTCAAAAAACTATTCCAGTGTTGACATATTTTGGAAAGAATGGTGTATTACAAATGAATTGTAGTGAATAATGACACCTAGTTTGTATAGTAAATAAAGTACCCTTTTACAACTATCAAATGAGCCCAAGTTAAAAAGAATCCATTATATAATTGTAGAGCTCTAACCAATTGTCACGGACATACACATGCAAGCAAGTAATTACATATATAAATAGGTAGAAGTAAGTAAAAGTAGATAAAAATAAGTTAATTCTATATTATTTGGTATGAAAGCTTCCTAGAAGCTTGATAGATGCTACTTTATCTTTATAGGTGTCTTTAATTGACTTTTTTTATTAGAAACGTAGTCAACAAGTTGGCCACATGCCACACATGTTGTTAGCTTGAAGACCAAGCTAACTATGTGGCCCACACCTAGAAAAACTTGCCTTGTAAGTCAAACCATGTGTCCTACAAAGTTAACACATATTGGAGGTCCTATAAAATATCGCCACATATCCCCTAGTTAGATAGTATATATAAAGACAAGAGTGAAGACTTCTTCACTCTTGTCAACTCCTTTCTTGCTTCTAGTCTAGTTTCAAGGGTCTCTAGTTTTCTTGGTTTTTGGCAATAGCTATTTCAGTTTCTTTCTTAATATATATATATATCAAGTTATTTCTATTTTGTTATCTTTCTATGAGAAAAGTTTCACTTTTTTATTTGTCTTTATCATATTCTTGTCGTTGATAGATTGACAAGAGTACACTTACAATATCAGAGCTTTGTCTAATCTTGATTAAGAGTGGATTATCCCTTTTTCTTGATAAGACATAAGCATATTAGAAGTTGCGGTGTCATAATACGTGAAGTCTTCCTTGAGAATGCTCCGGGCACCTGGCTATGGAAGGAAGAATGAAAATTGCAATAACAAAGTCCTAATTCTAATAGAATACTAACAATGCTCTAATTAGATCATAATAATGCTAAGCAAGCTTAAATAAATTCAAAAAAAACTCAAAGAAATTTCAAACAAAGAATAAAAATTCTTAAAAAAATATTAGAAAGATCACAAATATCACTCAAATACATCTCAATTCAATCTCAATTTAATTCTAGTTAAAATCCTATTGAACTTCATTCAAACTTTAGGCCAAAACTAATTGAATCTTAAATCCTAATAAAATCCTAAACTCTAAATCAAACTCTAAATAAATCTTAAATCAAATCTCAACCAAATCTTAAACCAAATCCTAATCAAACCCTAAACCAAATCCTAAACCAAATCCTAAACCCTAAATCAAATCCTAACCAAATCCTAATCCAAATCCTAAATTCTAAACCAAAACCTAATCCAAACCCTAAATCCTAAACCAAACCATAATTAAATCCTAAATCCTAAATCAAATCCTAATCAAATTCTAAATCTTAAACCAAACCCAAACCAAACCCTAAACCCTAAATCGAACCCTAACCAAACCCTAAATCAAACCCTAATCCAAACCCTAAATCCTAAACCAAACCCTAGTAATTCCTATAACAGATTTAAACCTCAATAACTAATGAATAAAACGTTGATCTTTACTCAATTTTTTCATACTTCTAAAAAAATAAGTTAAAAACAAGCACAAAAAAATTGAAAAAGATCGAAGTTACCAAATTGACGATAATCTCAAAAATGTACTCAAGTATTGGCTGGCCTCCTTCTTCAATCTTGATACCAATCTTCCAGAGCAAATATCTCTCCTTTGTACCGTTCGATTGATTTCAAAATTCTCAAACACATAGAAAATCAAGTCTAATATCCTCTTACATAAGTTTCACTCCAATCCAAATAGTAGATTGAAAGAAATCTTAAAAATCCCCACTAGATATAAAATTCTACTTTTTGAGACCTTAACCCACTTAAACCTCAATATTCCTCAATTCAAATGTTAGATCGAGCTCAAATTTAAAATACATATTGAACACAAATATTACCATAAACCCACAAAAATTCACCTATAGATCTACTACAAAACTCTTGAAATTATCCAAAACGTAAATCCTATTTTATTTCATAAAACCTAAGTCATCTGAAACTAACCTTGACTTTGCAAAGCTATTACAAAGTCATAACAACTCCAAATCACCCAAAATAAATGCACATAGAAACCTTATTAAATCTGCTATCAAACTCCACTCTTCGATCTGCAAAAGAACCGTGGAGTTGTTGTCGAGACTCGGTTTTGTATTCCAGGGTCTGATTTCGACCCTGGTTCATAACCGGCCCTCTTCGGATATCAATATATTCTTTTTCTAAGTAACTTCTTTCTAGAATTTACTGTTAACTTCCTTCTAAAGATGCCTATATCATTTATTTTTCCAATCTACTTTGATTTGCCTTACTTATGGTGCTATAAAGTAAGTAGAAGTCACCTTTCTTAAAGGCAGTATTGGTACCTTTTAATTTTTCTACCTCTTTGACTATTAACTATATTTCTAAGATAATTTGTTCTAATACTTTGAACTAAGATCTCCTAAATTATAATAATCTCTACACTCTTTCACCTATTAATTTTGTTACATCATGACAACGGACCTTCTAGAAGCAAGTCTCTAGAACCTTCTAGAAGCTTCTTAGTTGATAGAAGATATTAGGGACATAGTCCTTAGAACCTTCTAGAGATAAGTTTCTAGAACCTTCTAGAAGCAAGTCTCTGGAACCTTCTAGAAGCTTCCTAGTTGGTAGAAGTTACTTGAGAAGCTTCCTAAATAGGAGTATATATTGGAATCAAGGCTGAAGAGTTCTTCAGTCTCGACAATACATCTCTTGGAGCTCTAGCTCACCTCTCTGGTGTTGTTCTTATATTCATCTAATTAATCTAGTTCTTGCCAATTCTTCTTGAACTTCTTGTTAGATCTTGAGTCTGTATTTTTGTGTCTGTGACAGTTTGTCGAGACTTCACTCACCTCAGATATCAGAGTTAGTTTCTTGCTCGTTAGAGTGCGGATTACCCCTCTACTTGGAGGTGTACTAGCATTTTAGAGGTTGCGGATTACCCTCCTCTAAACTGATATTTCTTTTGTTACAATATTGGAATCTTATTCTTCTTGGAGAGAGTGGATTACCTCTTTTCTTGAAGTTCTTAAGACATTTTAGAGGTTGCAGAGTACCCTCCTCTAAACCAATATTGTCTTCTTGTAGAGTCATTTCTGTCCTTCTCTTAGAATGGCCGGAGGCCAAGACATTAGTATGATGGAAAGTTCAGAGTCCAAGTTGGATGCTATCATGAATGCCCTCGCTACGTTATTGCAAAGAACTGCACAAATTGAAGGAGTCATGGCAAGGCTTCATAATGATGGAGCATCTGGAATGGCACAATCTAGGTTGCATCTACCTCAAACTTCTGCACTTGGAGAAACAACTTTGCATCAAGTTCGATAAGCACCACTGGTTCTACAACATAAGGAGCCTCGAGTTAGCCTTCCAGACAAGTTCGATGGTACGCATTCCAAGTTTCAAGGATTTGTCAATCAAATCAGGTTGATAATAGTTTTACAGTGCAAACGCTATCCAACGGAGGAGTCACGTGTTGGGCTTGTTAGAACCTTACTTATAAGGCAAGCTCTATCATGGTTTACTCCTTTGTTTGAGAAACGATCGTCCATACTAAACAACTTTGAAACCTTTTTGGAGGCGTTTGTGGAAGCATTTGGTGAGCACGACAAGGTTCGATGGACTACAACAAAGATCTGGTCACTACGACAAGGGATGCACTCTATATTAGTCTATGCATCGGACTTCAGGTAATTATCATGCGACATCAATTGGGACGAAGAAGCGTTGATGAGTCAATTCTATTGGGATTTAAGGGATGATGTGAAGGATTTGCTGTTAAATCTTCCTGATCCACAAACGCTCAACGAAGCTATTAGCCAAGCTGTGAAGTGCAA